CTCGGCGACGATTTTCCGAGAAATATTGGCACGGCCTTATACACCATAAGATAACACCAGTGCTGCCGTCTTCATAGCAATGAATATTATCAGTTTGCAACATATCATTGATATGCAGAAGAAACAGCGTCGATGGTAGCATGTAGCCTTGTGGAACACCAGTAAGCTTGCTTTCACAGCATGCACCGTCTACTACGACCTCGATACTCCGATATTAGCAAGAACACTAGTGATCCAATCGCACAATTTCTCGGGAAGCCCATAGGAAGGGAGCTTCGTAAGAAGCCCAGTAACGACCCGATCGAAGGCCTTCAATATGTCCAAACTAACGGCCAATGCCTCCCCTTGGACTCTACTGCCTCCGCCCATCTATGAGTATAGTGGACCAGAAGATCACCAGCTGATCGACCACGACGGAAACCGTATTGGCGGTCACTGATCAGCTGGTGATCCTCAAGGTACCTCATGAGCTGGCAGTTTACAATAGACTCCATTATTTAGGAGAACAAGGAGGTGATGGTGATAGGCCTGTAGTAGGACGGGTTTGATCGGGTGGACCTGTCTGATGGTGTGAAGCTGTCTTCCAACAATTCGGGACTACACTTTGGGAGTAAGAGTACAGATAATGACGTGTTAAAACCGGTGCCAACTCCAGAGAACATGTCTTCAGCACAATGGGAGGAATTCCATCAGGTCCGCTCGACTTGCTGACGTCCAGGGAGAAGAGTGCTTTACGAACCGAGCGCTGTATAAACCGCACTCATACCGCGGGATGGTCGGCGGTGTGTTCCCCCCTCATCGAGAGTTGAGTTGGACGCAAAGAGAGAGCCTAACAGATCGGCTTTCTCCTTTGCGGCATGGGCCGGTGAGTCGTCCTCTCTGTGCAGAGATGGAAGAGTTGTCTGACAGAAGTTCCCTTGGACAGCCTTAGCGAGAGACCAGAATGCACTGGTTCCCGAAGGAAGGTGAACTAGATTCTCGACAATTCTGTCGATGTGCTCAGATTTTGCCTTATCAATGACTCTTTTGAAGGACTTGGAGGCGGAATTATACTTCTTTAGCGCTGGTGTTTACATCCCGAGACGTTGATGTGTCAGCCCAGGCCCGATAGCACTCCTGCTTATAGCGTGATGTTATTTTACAGTAGGCAGAAATCTGCTGGCTGGGATCTGCCTCCGATGGGCACCACAGAGGTCGGAACAAAAAGTTCCATACCCTGAAGTACCACATCAGCGACAGAATCAGCAACAACGCCAAGATCGTCCGGCGAGAAGCAAACCCGCCCCCAAGGGTAGGATGCAAAAAAAGACCGCATCCCATCCCAATCGGCCGACCTATAGTGCCAAACATGGCGGCAGCCTGCAGAATGCAACCGCGACGTTAATGTGACTGGCAACACACTCCGGACAAGACAATGGTCCGACGAGCCTAAAGGGGCGTTGACGGAAACCTGATATCCGTCCGGATGAGAGGTAAGCAGTAGCTCCAGCAGGGAAGGTGTATGATCTTCCTCATCCGGAATCCGCGTAGGCGCAGTAACCAGTTGTGTCAGACCATATGCCAAAGCTAAGTCACAAATCGATCTCCCCGCATGATCAGTTAAACGTGAATTGAGCCATTCGGCGCGGTGGGCGTTAAAATCGCCAAGGATCACGATCTATGCGGAGGGGATCTGCTGTACGGAATCTGTAGCCATTTGGATGTGGTCGATGAGTCGGTCTGTTTCGGTATTACTGCGATAGGACCTATAGAGGCACCTGTAGGCGCGGGGATGGTTGTCGCTGTCTACGCGTAGCCATAGGATGGACAGGTCTATACCTCCAAGACTGCCGAGGCGTCGAAAACAGATGAGGGGGGGGGAATTGTGCCTCCGGCTACCCGAACTCACAAAGCGAAACGCCACTGTTAAAAAAAGTTCAACATTGTACAGTTTGCTTCTCTTTGCTTTTGGTCAAGATAGGCAGGAAACCCAAATAATTTTAATCAACGGTAGACATAATACGCTAAAAATATTGGTTGCCTGTAAAGTCGGTATACGGGCGAAAGTTTTACGTGACAACGACTCTCTCACTCTCTCTCTCTCTCGCTCTTCTCTCTCGCCTAGGCGGGCTACTGTCTCGGGAAGGGACGTGCCTTTCACTTTTTATGTCTGTCTCTCTCGCTCTGCGGCTAACCTCCGAAAGGGACGTGCTCTCCCGGAACGAGCGGAGCGTAAGATTTCTGTCACCCGGCAAACCAATTTATAAGACGTTGTCACGTCAATATGTGCCTGCACGCTGAGTCGCGTGCGGGCTAGCACCAACATCATCCTGATCTTACTAGCGGACAGATGGGATTCACCAATTTTGAGCGTTGGATGAAAATACATAATTCAATTTAGACACATGACCTTGGTGAGTATATTAATTTTAATTTTATTTAATGTAAATAAGATCATATCTCCGCCTATCGTTCTAAGCTTAAATGGCTCACTATTAGTGAAAGGCGTAGCTCTAGAATTTTATTAATACTTCCAACACAAACCATCTTAAATGATCCTAATCCTTCAATACTTCCGCATGGAGGAGAATACATTTTGTCATTTGACAACTCAATTTCGAGTTTCAATCTCTACGAGTCCCTTCTACCTCGGCCCGCTCGCACAGATTCAATACGTTCACGATACGCATGCAGTTTTAGTGGTTAGCATGTTGTTTCAGCACCGGCGACGGCACTGGTGATCGTGTGTACCTTGGGTACGAACGAAGGTACGAACCTTTGATACATTTTTGCTTCACCGGCAGCCAAGTTGGTGCCGGCGCAGGCGCCGTGCCGGTGCCGTGCCTGCGAATGGAAAAGCGTCCATTTCCGGCCGTAAGCCTTGTCCATCTAATGTTCTTAAGGTTATTCTAGAACATAAAACTAAATTCTTTAAATATTCCTTCACAGTTCAGGCTATTCTCCATCTGCAACGCTTTAACCACTGAAGTCAAGAAAGTTACGAATGAGCTCTTTAACCGACTTCAAAAAAGGAGAAGGTTCTCAACTCGACTTCGTTTTCTTTTTATGTGTGTTATAATACCTCAGAACTTTTTTCTAGGTGAACCGGTATTGAAGATTTTTATTCATTTGAAAGCTGGTGCGACTCTATCATGTGGTCTTATATAAATCATAATGATGATCAATATTTGACCTGTAGTTTTTGAGTTATCCTTAATTTTTTTTATAGAAGAGGGGGCAAAGTAGCGGCTCACTTGATGGTAAGTGAAGGTAGAGGAAATAAAATAATATAAAACGGAATAAAGTGATAACAACATACAACTTATTTACCTAACAAACATGGCTTTCACATAACATGAGACAGTTTGACATGTCATTTGAGTGTGTCATTAAAGATGTCACATCCCGGGACTGTCTCCATTAAGGAGTTTAAAGCAGCATGCATGCGACACAACGGGGATCGCGCGCGCGACACAGTGAGGCAATGGGATGTGGCGAACAGCCGGTGTCGTCGAGTAGGCCTATGACGCAGCTAGTTGTTAGGCACATAAAGTGTACACAAAGTATTGTGCAGCTCTGGGGAATCTACCATGCTACTTAATTTTTTTATGGCTATTACGATCTGATCTCTGGCTCTACGCACTGAAAGGGAATTATATCCTAACATTCCCAGCAAGAAAAGAGTAGGATACGTAAATGGATAATATCCGTAAATTTTCTTATATAAAAAACGCAGGAAGGCTTTCTGAACCTTTTCAATCAACAATTCATATGTGGATTCGTGGGGATTCCAGACGGCTGCAGCAAATTCTAACTTACTTCTAACTAGACAGTTAAATAATAATTTGATGACAATAGGATTATTGAAATCACGGGCATTGCGTAGGACAAAACCTAGGCGTCTGTAAAATTCTGAAGCTAAGCTTCTAGGTAGATATGTGTGCATGGAAAATCAATTCGCAGTCAAATGTCACGCCAAGATCTCTAATGGTTGACACGCGCTTTATTTCAACACCTGCTAAGGTATAGGTGGCATGTGTAGGTTGTAACTTGCGGCTAAAGGTCATGACGTAACATTTACCGGCATTAAACATCATTTTATTATCTATACTCCACTTATGGATTCGGTCGATGTCACTTTGAAGATGTTCTGGAGTTACATCCTCAATCACTTGGACTAATTTCAAATCGTCAGCATATAGGAGGCATTTGGCATACTTTACTACTTTAATGAGATCGTTAACTATAATGAGAAAGGCTTACACTTGCGCGTATGATATGACTTCGAAATAAAGGATCCATAGCTAACATGAAGTTTTGGGGTAAAACCCATGCTGTATAATTTATTTAATAGAATATCGTTATCCACTACATCGAACGCCTTTTTAAAATCTAAATATAGCACATCTACTTGTTGACCTTTATCCATGTGATGAGATATATAGTCAACGAGGGATAACAAGTTAGTGTCTACTGATCAACCCGGTCGGAAGTCATGCTGCTCCTCACAAAGCCGCGTATTTACCTGCGCGTATATTTCTTTGTGAGCAATATTCTCAAAAAGTTTTGCTGCGCACGATAGTACTGCGATAGGACGATACTCTTCAACCCAGGTTTTATTGCTTGTTTTAGGTATCGGAGTGACTTTCAATATCTTCCACTGTTCTGGGTATACGCCGGTGTTTAAAGCCAAGTTAAAAATATAGGTAGGTAAGTACAGGAGCAAGAATCTTCTTGCATCCTTTTAAGATGTAAGCTGGGACTTTATCTGGACCCACAGAACTAAGTGGTTTTAACTTATTTATTCCTGATTTTACTTGTGATAAGGTAAAAAGCTTATGTTGATATGTCCATCGCATGACAAGGGAGTATTAGATACATTGTTGAAATCCAATATGGGACTATTGGGTAGAAACACACTAGCAAAATAATTTGCAAAGGCATCTGCAGCTTCACTATTGGAAAAACTACAGCCTTTGTAGGTCACAGTGGGCTCAAAGCCACCATTAGTTCGAAGGCTACTAATATGATTCCAGAATTTTTTTTGGATTATTCTTAATGCCATTTTCAACAGCTGCTAAATAGGCATTGTATGCTGACTCGATGCGTCCCTTGAGTTCTAACCGCAGTATGGAAAATGCCTTGTAGACATTCTGATAATTATATCGTTTCCATTCTTTGTGGAGTTTAATTTTGCGATTTACATCTTTAATATTATCATGTGAAAACCAGACAGGATAGCGTTTCCTGTTTGAAGCTTGTCTGCTTTTCTTAGGTACGCAAAGATCAAAAATATTATATAATACGTCATAAAATTGACCAGTCGCAGATTGCACATCTGAGGCATTAAATACACAACCCCAATCCACTGTAGACATCATCTCATATAAAAGAGAAAAGTTAGCTTTATTAAAACTCTAATCAGAGGTTGAGTCAAAGTTACTAGGCTTAATATTTTCGTTACAAGTATTTGATAAGATGTTAAGAGCAACATCCAAAGGTGGAATGGTAGGAGTCCACATTAACAATGCCACCAGTGTCTGAACTATTTACATGCACTGCGCAACTAGAGCCCTTTACAAGGACAACATCTAATTTACCGCCAAACTTATTATAAACGTTATTCCTGTCAGACAAGGAACAAAATGAGAGGAAATAACCATAATAATTACATACATTTTTGGAAGCACTATTTAAATTAATATCACCTATAATAAGTACGGTTCCTTTAAGGTCATTTTAAAACTCTCAACTTTAAAAAAACCATTCAAAATATACAGAGTCTGTAGCGCTGGGAGTTATGTACACTACACACACATAAACACTGCTCTTCCGGTAGGAAAATTTCACCCAGAGATCTTCGCCATTAAGAGTTTCAAACTCACGTACTCGGGTAGGTGTGATACCTTGCTTAGACGCTAATAGGACATATGTTACAGGACATAGGTTTTCTTGAAGGTCCCTAAGTCGTATCGTTCCGGAAAAGTCGCCGGTGATTTAAATCCACAGAGAAGTTGTACGAGAAAGAAAACTCCTAGTAAAACGTAATAATGCGTTTTTGTTTGACTTCGACTACATTCAAGATGTTCACATTTTATTTATATTGAAGTCGGTTGTACAAAAATTTTCATTTTACCACTTGTGTGTACAAGATTGGTGCCACAACGTTATTTAGAGGTAAACAACAGTTAATTGAATATTATATATATAGATATAGATATATTGTGTTGATATAACGTAATTAGGTACAATAGGAGTTAATAGTTTAACTGATTTTCTTTTTAAGTTCCTTTTGTTCTTAATTTGCACCCTACATCTTTATTTACTCCATCTTTCTTAGGGTTGACTGGTAGAGAATACCATAATATTTAAGTCCGCCCTCTGTAACCCGTACTTGCGTGTGTTGAAATAAAGGATATATAAAAAATGTAAATACTAGCACTAGCTCCTAGGTTTTCAGATTTTAAATTGTTAACAAATATGAATAATTGGTCTGAAATAAGTGAATTAGTACTCTATTATTATTAGCGAGCTGATGTAGTTAAACAGTTGAACATAGCTTGTAGGCATTTAAAGTAAGGTTTCAAAATAAATAATATTGTACTTCTCGCCTTAGTGGAAGCTATTCGATATCAAACAGGGTTAAAAAAAATTGCATTTCATAATTCTTTGTGTTCCACTAAGGTAAAATAAACAAAAATATCTTCATACAGCTAAAGCACACACATATCCCCGTTTTAACACTTAGAGCTCCTTTTACATATTATGAAGGCAATACAAAAACAAGCGGTAAAATTAAAAAAAATTGTACAACCTACTTCAATATTAATAAAATGTAATAAAATGAAACACATTATTAAGTATAACTCATAAACTATTGGCCAGATCTTGATGAAATTGGTACGAGACCACATGAGAAACACCAGCTATCAAATAAAAAAAGAATCATCAAAATTGGTTTACCTAGAGAAACCCTTCTTCTCTTCTCCTTTTTGAAGTCGGTTAAATAAGAGGCCACGCTACAATAATATGATCAAGGTAGATATCTTCATTACTATATTAAACCTTGTTGTCCCAACTCCCAATATATGAACTGAGAGTAATTCAGTTTCCCTGGTCTTTCTTTCCTCGGCAAGTGAGAAGTGCCAAGCCTCGGGCAGGAACTAATTTAGTATATTATCAGTCCATCTGAAAATTAAATCGAAATGTGTTCGTGTTAAAATTTCAAAACATAAATTTAAAACAGGCAACCCAAATTGATTAAAAAAGAAAACTCGTTAATATCAAATTATCTAAGAGATAAATAATACAGAAGTTACATTTTAATTATTTTACAGCCATAATGTGACATGTTATGGCGGGAAGATGGCGACCGAGAATAGATTCCATAGACAGGACAGATCCGAGTCTTTGATGTCACCGAATCAAATTACAAAAGTAAAACTTCCTCCAGACGTTAGATGTTTCTCGAATAGATGTATGTGTATCTAATTTAGATTTATTTTTGTTTATTGAAGATAAATTTAAGATATTTCAAATGTATTCAGTTAAAACTTGTCTCCCGCAAATTAATTAACGATTACGACAAAAAATCGATAGAGGCTGATTTTTATTATGTCCGATATTTTCAAAAGTATTATTTTAGATATTAAGTTTCTGTCTTCTGACACTCAGCCTACATTTTTACCGAACGGTAAGGCTCCTTTTTCTATAAGTCAGTTTGGGTAATTTTTATAGAAATGAGGAAAAATGAAAATGCGGTTCACCTGGTGGTGAGTGATACCCGCCACCCAAAAAATCTGCAACACTGGAGGATTCGTAAATCATATCAATTAGGAAAAATCGCTAATTTCCCGTCATACTATATTTTACGAGTACTAGTAGCTTGTTTGAGCACTCCCTGTAGTAAATACAAAAAAATGTATGCTCTGATAAAGAATCCTTTTGTAGAATATGGGTGACAAACGAGCACACAGTAGTCCTGATGGTAAGTGGATGCTGGAGCCCATAGACATCTACATTAATCTTTATTTAAGAATCAAAATCCAGAAGCGTTGTCACCCCTGAGAACTTCGATGGAATGCCTCGTTTCCAGTAAAAAGGGTCTCTAATACTCTACTCTTACCATACGAAACATAGCCGCATTAAACTGCTATTTTACGCTGGTATTATGTGAGAGCGTGTTCCTTCCCCGGTCGAGCCGACCCATTCGTGCTACAACCATAATATAGCTGCAGTGTGGTAGGCTCTACCACGTATAAAGTGTTGCTGCAAAGCAGCAGCGCATCAACAGTATTGTTCCGGATAAAAGGAGAAGTGATTAAGTTTAATTGAAGGCGGCGTTTAATGTAAAGCTTCGATCAATAATAGATTATTGATCGAAGATTTAAAGTCTCGGAATTGACCAGTTGTCAATTCCGAGACTTTAAATCTTCGATTCGAACGCCGTACCCGGAGTCTTCTTTGTGTGTGAAGATCATGATAATATTGTATTAACAAACAAACTTACAGTCCACTTGATAGTAAGTGGCCACTGTTGCCTATTTCAAATAAAACGTAGTGGTTATACTCTTTGACTTCAAAGTCACGTCTGAGCACTTGATGAAATACCGTATAATCGTTAAGTGTAATTTGATAAAACGAATGGAATCCAAAATAATCCTCTAATAACACTCTAAAAACAACAAACACTCTTAGATTGTGTTCTTCTGCACGGTGCCGTGCTATATATATTTTTTATTTGCCAGATCGTGCCATATATTTTAATATGAATGTAGGTAGGTATGTTTAGCATAATTTTAAAATAATACCAACTTTATACGTAGATGATTCACGTGAAGGGTAAGGGTATCGTTTAAAAAAAAAAGAAAAACAAAGTAGGTAGTGCTACATAGTAAATATTACGATGGCCGTTGACTATGACTTATGAATATGGACTTTTGTGTTGGAGTGTATATTTGGAAGTGTGTGTTTTGAAGTTTATATATATATATATATATATATATATGATATGTGGTACATTTATCGTAAAACAAGGTGCCAACAAGTCGTATTGAAAAGCCTACTAATCGGTAATTGGGTTTTTGATTGTGTAGATCATGGGTTAGTCATCACATATCACTTCATTCACAATTTTCAACCTAAAACTATTTTTAGCTAATCGGAGTAGGTCGCTGTCCTTCAGATTCTAGGCATTTGTTCTTTATTGTAAAAACAGCAGACTTAATGCGTTTTGGCATTTTCTTGCAACTAACAAATAATATTGTATTGATGTCAAAATAAAAAAGATAGACAAAAGGTAACCAGCAATAAAAACAGAAAGAGGCCGGCAACGCACCTGCAATTTCCCTGGTGATGCAGTTGTTCATGGGCGCCGGTAATCACTTATCATCAGGTGATTCACATGCTCGTTTGTCCCCTCTCCTATAAAAAATAATAATAAGTCCCACTCCTGGGCACAGGCGGGGCCTGATTTACCCACAGGCTAACTAGGCTGGAGCTTAAGGCGTAATATTCGAGGGGACGCTAAGTTTGCTTTTGCAAACACCGCTTGTGTACGTCATAAAATTTGGTATAATATTCTCAATAAACAATAGAGTAATTTTAATTGTTGCCCTTTCCTTACTTTTGATATAAAACAAATAAATAGATTGAAAAATAATATTTGGTACGGTGAAACCTTACATCTTTGCCCACATATTTCGGTTTTCATTACTTTTTTCAAAAAATATCCACTTTATTTTGATGGTTGCTAAAGTTTTAAACGACACTATATGCAACAAATAAACCAGGTGAATTAATTCCTAACAGATGCTGAGAAGAACAAAAACAGACGCGGGCAAAGTTATCTCCACTTTCTTACATCTTTGCTCAACCTAAATTTCTCAGCAAGTATAAGCTCTATGATTTTGATTTTAAGATATATTGTTAGCAAACCGACAATATTGAATACCAATACATTTTCAAATAAATAGAAGTCCATTTTAAGTTTTAATGGCGGTGGGCAATGTTATCACCACATTTAGTCACACTTTCATACTAAGAGATTTGAAGTGCTAGGGCTGTGCCTCAGATGAAAGGAAAATAATAAATTGATTTCGAGGCATTGTATTTTTTATTTTTAAAATTAAAAACAACAACTAACTAAACAACAACAACTAACTAAACAACAACAAAAATCAAGAAAATCAATGTTTATAGGTAGTTGGTAGGTAGCGTACCTATTAAATATTAATAAAAAATAAAAAGGTCTCTGCTAACGTAAGCGTGCCTGTTAGTTTCCTGCGTGAGTATTAGTTTAAAAAAAAGTAAGCAGCGCAGAAATTTTTTATCACACGCACCCAAGGCAGATTATCGCTCCTCGTACAAAAAAAAAATA